AATCTTGAGTTGGTACCCCTGAAATCCGGGGAGTTTTATTTTTAGGAAGCCCTAAATTGACACCCCTGACACTTGAGGACACCAATTTTTGGAAAATTGTAAGTTAGTACTCTCGAAATTTGGGGAATTTTATTTTCATATTTATGAACTGCATTTAGAGAATCTAAAGCTGTAGATAATTTTCTACAAAATAAAGACATTTATACAGTCCGATAGATATCACTAATTTTTCCAACGAGTAAGAAATCCAGAAGCGTTCTTTCAGCAATAATCTCTATCAGAATTGTATTTGCCATCAAATACCAGATACCAAAGTCTCTATGTTTACAGACACCCGGTGTATCTTCTAATACTTATCGCCCGTTACTGCACGTTTGATAGCATCGCAAACAACACCTGAGAATTCCACTGATTACTGTTTGTTCTTATAATTGGCGACATTGGCTTTCCTCAAACTCATCGCTGGTGTTCCGTATCGACTTGAACTCCGCTCGAGTCAGAGAAAACGAACAGTGTGCAATGTAATCTGCGCGTGGTTTTCTCTCCTCGCCATTTTGTCGCTCGTTTTTCCAACTCTCGCACGTGAGTCTGCATGCGTGCACTCTCGTCTCGGCTAAAGTCGTGACGTTTGTTTTTATGCTTACTTTACCGCGTTGAAAAAACATCGGAAAGTGGCTGCCGGGACGGTGCAGCGTCGAAAACCACCCCCGTAAAGGGGTTGCACGAGAAACAGGGGCTGAGATTTTTCTTCGCATTGTCGCCGCGTCGAGTTATTTGCTTCTAGCGCCGCTTTGATTGTTCGTAATTGGGTACGTTAATTATGAGCCGGGAAAACGGCGCGATGATTCTTACTTTCAGGAAACGCCGAACGAATCGCGTTTCACCGGCGGAAAAATTCCACTGATACGCCGATCGTGTAAAATGTTCATTGCTACGATTCGTGAATATTTTTAGGAGAACTCTGGAAGCTGCGGTGAACGAAGTTTGAGAAAAGACAAATTTCCACCGAGAATACGCTTTCTTCTCACGATAAATCTACTCTGCCTATTTTCACACAGCAGACTTTCTTATCTTCGATCTTTACAAGTGTTCGAATTAGGAAATTACAGAATGTAGAAAAATTGCATCCTACAGAAATATTTGTTAAAAAATTTCCATCGGGAGTATGCCTTTTTCTCACAATAAATTATCACGGCACTCTGCCCATTTTCACACAATAGACTTTTTTATCTTCCATCTATGGAAGTTCAAATTATTATGAAATATATAAAAATTGCATCCTACAGAAATATTTGTTAAAAAAATTTCCATCGAGAGTATACCTTTTTCTCACAATAAATTATTTTACTTAACAAGATATTTACTTTCCCCGTAACAGATTTTCTCATCTTTAATCTGCTGGATCAAATATGCCACCTATTTTCTCTTTTTTATACACATTCAATGTTAAAAAGATTTGCAAATCTGTTAATAAAGAGAACTGTAAAAGGACTTAATTAACGTGTAGAGGTTAGTTAGCTGAATAAATTGCGAAATCATCGATAAGTTCTTTTCTACCGTTTATGAGCTTTCCACGGTGTTTACTTCTGTACTAAATGCCACGAGAACTTTTCATTAATGCCCGAATGAATAAATGCCACCGGGTCCCCCTTCCTTAAATTCTTAATGCAGCAAGCCCGGCGGAAAGTACTCCGGGACCTTCAAAATATCTTCAAGAAGTTTAAAGTCTTCCCTCGATAGTATGTAAATATTGTATGTAAAGCTCGACATCAAAGGGATTCTTCCGTAGTATAATACTTTAAATTTCGCTGCGAGGAGAAATTAAGGCACAACAGGAGGCGAGGATATAAAGGACGCGTGTGCAACAGAATGTCTACTTATAGTAACCAGGCTTCAATCATTTCAATATCCTTCGTTTACTTCTCGCAAACACGAGATATTAGGTATACATGGTGTATCAAAAATCGTGATGGAGCAGAGAAGAAAATAATCAGTCATGAGAAAAGAAAAATTGAGTTTGAAAATTCGTTGTTTTCTGAAGTATTTTCAAAACTACTTTTTATTATTATCACAAAAAAAAACAAATAGTGTAACAATAGTTGCACGCATATGTAGATAATGATTTCTGCAGAGCTTCGTGTGAAATTTTCGTTCGAAAAACTTTCATTCCATATTTGTCGAGCTAATTTTGCACAAGAAATCATGCTAGTTCTTCGATCACGTAGATCGTGAATTTTTTGCAAACGAAATTTTCCCTCGCTTTTCTCTCCGAGCTTCCTACGAAAAAATGTCACTCCATACTTGTCGCTTTAATTTTCCGCAAGAAATCACGCGAGCTTTTCGATACCACCCGGTATAAAGTGGTAAAAGAATTTAAGGTATAAATACAGCGGAGTATCTCGACAATTTTTATCAAAATGTCCCTTAGCGTGGAACATTGAACGGCAAAGAATGCTTGAAACGTAGTTTCGTGAATTACGGAATTCCTGATGAATATTCAAGAACCTTGTCCGACATGTAATTGTGAAAAGGACGACGATGGTCAAACGCGCAAAGGAAGAACGGTGTTCGACACACGGCAAAGGGACCACAAAATCTCTGCTGGCATTCGTGCCAGGACGTTCGCGAAAACTTTGTTACATTTTTGGTCGACTCGACGACATACGCTGGCCGAATAAGCCGGATCAAAGGGACAAGCTTGAACGTAACAAGAGGCTGACAAAGAGGTGTAAACGAAAGAAAAGCGGCGTTGCATTCCTTCTCTGATGTCTTCCGGGAAGTTCGTGGAAATTCTTCGGATCACGGTAATGATCGATCAAAATTTTTGGTAAAGATGCAAAGCAGATTTGTGGGGAAAAATTTTTTAAATTTCTTATTTATCTTATCGACGATGATCGTTATCGAATTTATCATTTATCGACGAGCGTGTCTGTGATGAATACTAAATTGAGATGAATTTTTGTTCGAGTACTAAAATAGGACAGATGGGTTCTACTGGTCACTAAAGGGTTAAAGTAATTTTGTGAAATCATTGCAACAACTCTTTAAACACCTAGAAAAGTCAAATACAAATTTTCAGCGTTGCATTTAAAGATCGCAGTGTAATGAAAATTTAGAGAATTAACCCTTTCACCAAACTTCGAACGCTGCATACTAAAGGCGACTATAGTCACAAAGCACAGCCTAACTCGACATCTTCAGGATAACCGATACACTTTCATCGAATTGCTTCATCTTGTTGTCCCAAAAACTGCAAAAATAGTGTACGCTGCGTCTCGGCCAACTCTGCTTTACCAAAAGACACATTCCACGAACACAATTCCCTCATAATTGAAAACGCTTCTCCACCCGACACAAAACGGAACGAACAAGGTGACACGCTTAGCAGCCTAATTGCGTTTGAATAAGAAGAACATCTCAACAGAATGGAAAAACGAAAAAAAGGGTGATTAGAAACGTGGGAAGGGTGGTTTTATCGTGTGTTCTCTTCTTAGGGGGGAAAAACGAACTGCACGTTGGAAGGAGTGGCAAAGAGTGGCAGCAACAGAGAGAAAGAAAGAGAGAGAGAGGAAGCATAGCAAGCTGCTCGCGCTAAACCACAGAGGAAACAAAAGGTGCCGCTGGCGAATTAAGAACGATATTTTAACGCTCGACTTAATTGCATTAAACTGGGACCGAGAGGAGGCGAGTAACAGGAAAAGACAGAGAAAGTGAAGAGGAGAGAAAAAAAAAGAGGGAGGAGGAGGAGGAAGAGAGGAGGGCTGGAAGAAGGCTGTCAAGAAAAAATAAGAAAACAGGGGTAGGTAAGAGGGCAAATAGAAGGGGGAAAGGGAGGCGCGGGTCAACCTTCATGGTTGTTCTATTTCGTGATTGGATGTGCCGGCGGTAATACGTCGGATTTTCAAAGTGCTCCTTATTGCGACGCGGCTGTACCCTTTGAGCCGAAACAAACAGAGTGCTCGCTTTTTTCGCGAAGTGGCCAGGGTGAGAGGTAGAACGGAAGAAACGGATTATGTTTTAGATTCCAACTGGAAGAGACCGGGGGAGAAGGGGAGAAAACCACACCGAGAAGCAATGAGGGGATGAACGAACGCCGGAGACGAAAGGAAAAGGAGAGAAAGAGAGAGAAAGTTCTCGAGACCACGCGAGGCATTCGGGGTAAGAGAGTTTTCTTGTAGTGTTTCCCCGCGTTTCTTCTCGTCGCAATGCCTTCGAACTCCTCTCTTGTTTTAAACAATGGATCAGTCAAATCTCCCGCTTCGTCTCACTTTTTTCACACATACCAAATAATACCGCGTGTTTTCGAACTTCTAGTATCACACGAGAAAAGATGAAGAAATCATTCGAAAGTGTAGAGGAACATTTTGTCATACCAAGCTTCATTCCTGAATAAATCAAGGTTCAAGATTGTGATCAATGTGAAGATATGAAAATCGAACTACTGCAACGTGAAAACAATGATTTTTTTATTAATTTTCTTGTGCCAGCATTTGACAATCACAGCAATTTCTTTCCGACTTTTACCCAGTTTCAGAAAAAGAACTAACTCGCTTAACTTTCTAACTTTCAAAATGTTAACAGCAATACTAAAGTCTAGCCAACGTGTGTTAGCGGAGACTGCTAACAGCAGACTGTGACTTTCACGAAGAACCAGGAAATGTAGACTATGGATCGCTCAGATGTTTTGTGGCCCACTGTCACAGCTTTAAAATTCCTTTGAACTAGCCGACAAAGGACGACGAACAATAGAAAGGTTTCAAAGAAATAGTTTTTCTAATAATAAAGGTGCCTAATAATTTTCGCCAAAGCTGTAGACGACTTATGAGACGAGAAGAAATATTACAAGTAAAATAATCAAGGATACACAAGATTGCAGCGATTTTATTCTCAATTTATTTGCCGTTCATATTATATCCCACTACCGTGTCTCTCCAACATCAAAAATTCCCAATTGAACTGGACACAATAGCTACATGTAATTTACAAAAAAAGGAACATATCTACACGATCGAGTGAAAGCTTTTCCTATGAGTGTCCAGCATGAGAGGGTCCTTGAAGTACTTCTGGCAGGCCTCGCAGAAAAAACGATACTTGCTGTCGTGACATTTCAAATGCTTGTTCAGCAGATCCTTCCTCGCGAACGTTTTCTCGCAGTAGGTGCACGAGAACTTTCCCGGATTCACGTGGAACGTGTTGTGCCTGGACAGATTGTCCATTCTGGTGTACTTCTTGGTACAAATGTCGCAGGTGAACTTGGTTCTCTCCGAGTGGCACCTCTGATGATACCTCAGGTACCGTTTTTGCGCGAACGTCTTCTTGCACGCGCAGCAAACCACCTGATTCGACTCGTCCTTCTTCACGTCCATGTGATCGGTCAGCTCGTCGTTGTTGAGGAACTCCTGCTTGCAAAATTGACACATGTACCTCCTCGATCGCTTGTGGTTCTGTATGTTCTCCAAGAACGCCGGATCGGTCATGATTTTGAAGAGGACAGTGTTCTCCAGCTTTTCGTTGCAACTGCTCTCGCTGCGTCTGGACACGTCCTCCTCGAGACGATCCTTCTTGCACAGGTTCACAGCTTCTGTTAATCTGTCGTCGTTGCTTTTACAATCTTGCCCGCCCGAAGATCCAGTCACGGAGCAACTCTCCGTGTTTCCGTTCGATGCTACTGCCTGAAAGAAATTGATCGTTTGTTAAAACGAGGAAGAGTGAAAGATGGTTTTAATCGTGACGTGTACATTGTTGTTGTCGTCGTTAGGAACGCAATCCTTTGTCCTCTCTTCCGAGTGCAAGTAGCAATTTGACGGGCCAGCTAGTGAACAGCAAACCGATGAATTCCTCTCTGAAGCCTCGGTCTGCGATTGGAAAACGACAGAAATATGAAGGACAGGGTTAAGCTTCTTCGAGTTTGTTATATTATACCTGATGCGACTTTTCTTTCTTCACGTCCATGTGATCAGTCAGATCGTCGTTGTTGACGAACTCTTTCTTGCAGAATTGACACACGTATCTCCTGGGTCGCTTATGGTTCTGTATATTCTCCAAGAACGCCGAATCTGTCATAATTTTAAATAAGACAGTGTCTTTCAGCTTTTTAGGGGGAATCTCTTTCTTCTCGAAATCCTTTATACATAAATTAACAGCTACTGTTAGTCTGTCGTCGTTATTTGCGGAAACAGAAGGTTCGCTCTCGCACGACTGCGAATCTTGTCTGCTTGAAGAAGCAGTTACGCAGCAACAATTTTTCTTCTCGCTGTTTAATCTTGGTATCTGAAATGAATTGGTGAATTTAGGAGAGAGAAGAGTGCGAGAAGAGCTGTTAATAGTGACACAAAGTTACATTGTTGTTATCGTTGTCGCAAATAGAGCTTTTCGGCCCTTTTTGAGAATGAGAGGCGAAACATCGACGTCTTGATGGACCGGCTATCGACGAATCCTTTTCCGGAGCTTCAGTCTGCGGAAGAAGTTAGAACAATTCGAAAAATTGTGGTTGGTAAGCTATTTCTAATATTATAAATAAAAAAATTAATTCAGAATTAAAATTTATCCATCTTCTGAGATCAAATTTTACGTTGATAAACTTTAATATAGAAATTAGCGTTATTATGCTTGGAATACCTGATTTTATGCTATTAATATTATAACAATTCAAATTTCTACGCGTGCTGAGACAAAATTTTACATTGATAGATTTTCATATGCAAATCAGCTGATATTCTGAAATTTCAAAACTCTCGTTTCTTTAATTTCACCTTATCATTATAAAAATTAAAATTTCTGTATTCTGAAATTTCAAAACTCGACATTTTTTAATTCTACCTCGTCAATATTATAAAAATTAAAATTACTACACATACTGACAAAAAATTCTACATTAACAGATTGTCGTATACAAATTAGCGTTCTCATATTAAAGGACACCCTGTACATCGAATATCTGAAATTTCAAAAATCTCGATATCCCTGCTTAACGAGATACTTTCGATATCTCGTCGCGAGCGTCGAGTATTTGTCAACGTAAACACACTTACACGCTACACGACACACACACACAAGCACACATACTCTCTAAAACTGTCATACGTCGTTACCTTCTGTTTAATCGACATGTCTAACGCTTCCTCGCAATAATTTAACGTCCCGTCCTTTTTCTCCTCCTTTACAGATCGATCCCCCAGCTGATTCACGTCTAAATTACACATTGTACGTTCGTTCGATCCGTGTGACACGTCCTCCTCGTCATCTGACACTTCCTTTCTTCTTCTGCTCGCAGAGGATTGTCCTGGTTCGGTAACAATCTCCGACACAGTCTCGGAGATTCCATTTACCGGAACTATCCGCTGCCTCGGTACCGTTTTCACTCTCATGTTTGCTTATCGTAATTTCGTACCAGCTAAGCGTACACGAACAATTCGAGGAAAATAAAAACTACTGCAAAATATAGGAAAAAACATTGAAAACGTAATTACCGTCTCTCTACGTAAATAATTCAGAAATACTATTGTACTTGAAATGTATCTACCAATGATCTCTTGAATTGAATATATCGTTTAATTAAGTTCACTTACGTATAGACATAATATTGTACTTACGCAACACATCGCACGGTACATCCGTGTCCAGTGAAATACGAGAGTAATTTCTTGTTTCCAGTACAAAATAGGAGAAATACTTTCATTCACACCGTGGATCGAATAATGTACACGAATCAAAGATGCCTGAGCACGAGACACACATTTCACCGCGCGTCAACCGTAACTGTGAAGCAACAGTGTTTAGCCGACCGCAGGTCGACTTTGACGGTTGGCACAACAAAGGGCGTCTAGTGGAATCGCCTAGCACGGAAATCCAAGTTTGCAAACACGAAGTTGCCTTCAACGGAATCCGATCTGCTTATTGACCCGTCGTCGTACAGACTGCTAATAGGAGTTAATACTTTTTTCTAATTCTACTGTATAGTAATTCGAATCGTTTCACATTTATCCTTGCTCGTCGCATTTACGTGTTGTGCTCGATACCGGGAGATAAGGAAAATATGACGATTCGAATTTAACGCGATTTTGAGGGAAACAGTTGGTAGGATTGAAAGGAATAAAGGATAAATTCCAAGTTAACGTGATTTCAGAGTTGTTTCTTTCCTTATTATCATATAGGGTGGACCGATAAATGGCAATTTTTAATAATTCTAGGACTGTGTAAGTGAGAGAAAAATGTAAGGGGGATAGAAATGTAGGGGAAGAAAGATACTTTCTTATGTTATATAAAAATATAAAAACAGGAGTGTCTAATTATTGTAATTATATGATATCCCCTTCGACAGTAAATAATTTCTATTGAGAAAGTTAATTGAAACAAAGTTTGAAAAATTCCTCCTTCACTTATACATAGTTACTCAACATAGTAATTTCTATCAGTTCACTCTCTATACTTTATGCAATCTTTTATAATACGATTTTCTCTGGAATTTTCATTTTTCCAAAGTGTGAATGAATTCACAGATTTCAGACACGCGCAGATCCTTTCTAAACTTTTAACCCTTTCCTCAGAAGACCTTCCAGAAGATTTCTGATCTCGTTAATCGCCAATAGTAAACAGTAAAACTGAGAAACTGAAGTTGGCGTAAAGTGCTCTATTATAATTTATCTACACAATGACAAAATTCGCAATCTCTGAGCATTAGTGTAAAATTACAGTGGAAAGTGGTAATTCCAGTTTCACTGTACACTATTCTAATTTACCTGTGCAATGACAAAATTCGCAATCTCTGAGCATTAGTGTAAAATACGAATTCCAATTTCACAAGTAGATACCCTACTCTAAATCCCGAGCACCGAGAATCGAATTATTCTCACGAAAAACTATGCTCCACTAGAACATCGCACGGCAGGAATCACCGAAGAACGATATCGAAGAGTCGGAATCACTGTTGAGGGAAAAACAAAAAACACAAAGATAGACAGAAAGACAGGCGGACAGACAGACGGACGGACGGACAGAGGGGTGGAGTGGAGATGGGGTCAAGTATAAAATTAGCGAAGAAAGGCCCGATGTTTGGTAGGATGTTTCGTGTCCCCTCTTTGCACGTCCCGATCGTTAATACGGCATAAGGAGGAAGCAGGGTTAAGCGAGGGTGAAGCGAGGATTTTTAATTGTAGTTCAGCCCGGCATAACCCCGCTCGACCCGCCGGTATTGTCATACTGGAGCGGCGCTTTTCTTTATTTCCCCAGTGGCTGGATGAGGTTATACATTTTTTTAACTATGGCAATGCCTCCGTCTTCTTATTAGCAAAGCTAATTGGAAATACAAATGGTTATTCACGGTAAGAAGGAAGCCTGAAGACTGACTGTGAGGCCAAGTACCAACCGATGGAGGGCTCCATGGACGCGAAAGGGGGTGGGAGAGGCTGGTACACTTCTCTCCGCGTATTAAGCTTGTATTTGCCCTGGATAATTAGGACTTTTTCCCGACCAATTCGGATGAATAATTGATTTTGCTTCAGACTGCCGGCGCGCGGCGTACCCCGTCGTCGCTGCTTTTGCTCCTCGTCGAATGACAATCACTCGAAGAAAAATACAGATCTTTCGGATGAAATATTCAGGGTGCACCCGGGAGTGGGAACGATGAATGCGAAGGAAGCTACCTGCTGGCTTCTGTATACCGCTCGATCCGAAAAAAAATTCCCCGCTACTTCTAACGAATTTTTATGGTATATAATTGTGCAACGCGAGAGAATAGAGGGAAGGGATGATCGAGATATCTCAGTTTCTTTAATTTTCGATAGTAGAACAAATTTCCGGAGAAACGAGGACACTGCGAATTTAAGGAATATACTGAAAATTTTCAAAATTTAGTCTATTCTGAGTGTAACAATAGTACCAAAACATTTCTGGAAGAGGAGAGAGACTATACTTGAAATTTTCAAAATTTTCATCTACTCTGAGTGCAATAATAATACCATGCAACATTTTTGAAAAAGCGGGGAGAATATTGCAAATTTAGGGAACAGTTAAAATTTTCAAACATTTCATCCATCGCGTATGCAATAAGAATCGGTGAACGAAGAATCAGTATTGGCGTATTCCGAAAAGAGGTCGCGAGACAATACAGGCAGGACAAGGAGAATCGAAGACGAAGACAGAGAGACAATAGAAACGCGACATGAACGTAGGAAAAGGAGAGAAGCAAGGTGCGAATGAGAGGGATTTGTGTAATGGTTTTTTGACAGTAACCTGGGGTCAATGCCCGCTGGCACGAGTCAGCTGTTTGCCTATACAAACATTTTACAATACGAAACGTCGCTATACGGAGAAGATTTCGAATGTACTCATTTCTCTTCGAGAGTAATACCTTTTCTTCGCGTGCTTCCGCCTTAATTTTAAAAATGTTCATTTTCAATTTTAATTCAACGATAGTTCACAATTTTCAAAACGCCCAAACGAAGCATGTTACGTCCTAATATCTACCGCAAAAGCGCGTTAAGAATCAAGCAAAAGGATTGCAAACTTTCTCGCAGAATTCTATCGACACCGCATAAATAAAAAGGCAGTTCGCTTGACGAACTGCCGAGACTGTAAAAAAAGAAAGAAAGAAGAAGAGACAGTCAGGAAAACGGAATTTGTTGTTGAAATTCGTGTTGCAGGTTATCAAGGGGAGCTAACGAAGGAATAGTCGGTCAAGCAGCAATCTCGCAGGAGCCTTCTTTTTCCGCCTGGCCGCGAAGAAACGCCCGTGGGGCTCCGCAACTTTTTTTCATCAGCATTTTACGGTTATACTCTCGCATTAATAATGCACATGCTTAATATAAAAAGAAGCCCGCGAGTCTCCGTCTAATAAACTGGAAGAATGCTTTATAACCGGCCGCGGTTTCGGGTCATGAGGAGAGGGTGGCAGCGAAAGGGAGAGAGTAAGAGAGAGAGAGAGTTTCCTGAAAGCCGGCTAAAGGGGGTGGCTTTCTTCTTTATGCCCGTAGAACGGCCAATCTCTCCAGGACGCGTCGAACGAAAGTGGCCGAACTTCTCCAAGCCGCGAACAGACAAATCGCCACGCGACGAAACCGCCGCTCGTTAGAGGACTTCCCTCGTTTTCTTTTTTCGCCTTTGCCAGTCAACTACCGGCGAATTAGATTTTTTCAAGGAAACTTCGCGTTACAAGGGAAGGACTCGCCGTCCGTCGGCGATGAATACGATTTTTAAAAGGAAACTACGCGGAGGAACGATGGATGAATAAATTTTCGGCAGAGAAAATTGAATCGGTTCCTCGAGCAATACAGGGTGCATCGGGAATAAAGCCAGCTGTAACAGGTTTCCGATAAATTTCGATTTCCAATAGACTAAAAAATGATTTTTATTCGCAGAGAATTGAATAGCTAGATCTTTTTCATTTGCAGAGCGAAGAAATTCTTAAAAAGAAAACTGCGCGAAAGAACGGTGAATGAATAAATTTTCCGAGAGAAACTTCTGAAATTGAAGCATTCTGCTGAAAAATGATTTTTGTTTGCGGAAAATTGAATAATCCTTGGAGCAATGCAGAGTGTATCGAAACATAAAGTAAACTGCACCGAGATTTTTGATAAATATCAATTTCCACCGGAGCGCAGTCAAAAAATGATTTTCACATTTTGTATTTGCGGAGTACCGAAATATTTTTCTATCATTTTCCCGCGCGGAATAAATTATTCATGGTAAGACAGTCACCTCCGGTTATATCATCAACGTGACGTTCGAATGTAAATCATTTTCAGCCAGGCAATTTTCATATTCATCTTATCCTCGAGAGTCAAATGAATTTTTCGTTCTCCCCGGAGCTGATTTCTGAGTTGCGAGCGAGAAGAGGCCGTACCAGATAGCGGAGGTGAGACTTTTTGAAAAATATGAGTTTAATAAAGAAGAAAGTATGATGTATGGCTCGCTGCCAAGGGAGAGAACTTACCGGGATCAACCGACTTCGATATCCAGATACTGTATGTGTAATATAAGCAGATGAAGGGAATTGCCGCGATATACTGGGTGTCGCGAAAACGATCGACGGATATGCCTTATCACCTTACTTCTTTCGTTACTATTATCCGATCATGTTATCCCTTAAGCTACGTGTAATTCAATTACGTCAGTTCTCCTTCGCTGTGATGAAAAATTCAAACTTGAAAGTCAAATTGGACTGTTAATTTTAAAATGCAATCTTTCTACCATTTCTTCAAGTAGAGCCTCTAAAATATTCTAGAAGATTAAAACTAGAGTTGCTATTGAAATCAAAAACGCAGCCTTTCTGTCATTTCTTCAACTTTAAGTTTGATTCTGAACGAAGTAGAATCTTTCAAATTTTCTTTGATTAGGAAGATTAAGACTATTGTCATAAAGCCCTAAAAAA